ACTTTGAGGCACTCTATTTAAATACTCGACCTATAAATTACTTATATTTACATCCTCTATGTCTCAGAAGACCAGGGGAAGTTTGGCAAGATTTGAGATCTTTCCTGTATGCTTTAAAATCTACAGCACTAGATAATCTCTATAGTAATTTCTAACTTCAATATTTTGATTTGGAGATTAAAAAAAAACAAAACAAAAAACAAGACAGAAAATAAGCCTTTAACAGGAATAAATTATTTTTTAACTGAGGAATGAACCAAGGTTAAAACATTTTCTTCGAGAAGATCACAAACCATAGTAGTCACTCCTGGGGTCAGCAGTGAGTCGCCGCCTTTAACTCTGGCACAGAGTTAACACAGCATTAGTGTTCAACTGGAATCTAGTTAAAAGGAACAAACATAATATTTCACTTTTCTGTCTTTTTTTTGTTATTGCCTAAATGTAGGTGATATTTATTGAAAATACTATACACAAAGAACTCAATTCAATGGATTGATTTAAAAAAACCACTAACTTTATTTTTATTAGCTTTAAAAACAGAACTTGTGACAATTAATCACAAAGACTCCAAAAAAAATTACATTCTGCTTTTGTCACCTTGATAGGACAAGGAATGTTTAAATGTCCTTAAAATACTGGATAGCCAAAGTTGGCAAGTAATACACTACAACAAACTATGGACTGTCACTTCAAGCACACTAAATATGGAATACACACACAACCGATTTTTTGAAGTACAATGAATATTCACTACAGTTTATAGTTCGAGAAAAGTAATGTGCCCCAAAACATAACACAAGATCACAAACATGTTCAGACAAAATAATCAATTCGATTCCTGGATTCAATTAACATAGTATGACAGAGAAACTTTAACTTGGAGGGTATACACAAAACAGCAGAAATGTACTTAATACTCACTGGGGCCCCCAATGTGGGCCGAGAAGCAGCTGGAACAGTATGGCACAATAACAGGGTAAAGCCACCTTTATCTCTCCTCAGTCCCCAATTTGAGTTAGGAAGATTGGTGACTAAATAGAAAACAATACGGAAAAACACATATTATCTGCATAGATGTAAATCTTCCATTATGACAAGAATGTGTTTATAGGACATGGTTTTGTTTCTAAAGCAAATGTAGCTTTATAATAGACCTTTGTTTAAATGGGTGGGATACTTTGACACAGCCCAAGGTTATTCTTCTTAACCTTGGTTGGAATCTTCTATTTTGAACATGACCATTTTTATCATCTTTTCGGTCAGTGAACCTAGCAGTTGTTGGAATTTTTGGTTGCTTTGTTGCTTGTATATTTGGTAATAATAGCAACTCTCTTCAAGTTACTAACACTTCCCCGAGTCACAATTTGAGAAAACAACGGCGTCCTACTGAAGATGATCTGGCTGACCCATGCTCTAAGGGGAGTTCAGAAAACAACTGAGTATTTATCAAATTGTTCGATGAGGTTCCTAACTCTTATTCTTTAAACTTATTTAACTTTCTAAAAGGTGAACTTCTCCAACATAGACTTACCTCCCCAGCTAAGAGGCAACTATTTCCTCAAGTCTTTTGTTCCTTTACATTGGCACACTTACTATAGGTAATGTTTCCTTTTGTATAGGAAGATGCAGATGCAAATGTCCAAAAAGGAGCCCAGTGAGCGGGAAAAGACTGACCAAGTTCACCTGTGTGATGAGTATGCAGCACACACCTCTAGAGAAAAGAGGATATCCAGCGGACAGTGAACCTGATGCACCAAAAAATTTCACACATTTTCCATTGCTTAATTACATTTGAGACTTTCTTTTTCAAAAATAAAGCCATGGTCTGTAAAAGAGTCTGTATAAAAATATGAAGCAGTCTTTAATCTTTAACGGGACTCCATTTACCACCATTGAGCGTGTCATTCCACTGTAAACTATTTCCAAATCATATGAGATCTCATTCTGTTTCATTAGAATCACGTCTCAAGTATGACTGGTCTATATTTTAATTTCATTACTATTGAAATCTAGGAAAGCCCACATAAAATGTCAATGCAATTGCTGGCTACCAAGATCACACTATTTAAGCAGATTCCAATCTCAATGGTAAAATGACAACGAAAACACAAAATATAGAACATCAAGTTCACTGATAAAAATTACTAAGTCACTGATTTCATCACCTAAGAATTTTCTCATTCCTTGCATCCCATTAGGGGAAAAAACTTACTCTCCTTTTTGTTTGTTTGTTTTCTTATGATGGGGATTCACCGCCTCTGAGTGTCAGTGCAAGAAGAAGTAGAAAAAGCACTAGCGTAGGAGTTGGGAATGCCAGTTCTAGTCCCTGGGCTGCCTTTCTGTGGGCTTTGAAGCAAGTCGCATCGCCTCAGTTTTCTAATCTGTGTGACATGAAGATTACACGACTATACGATGCCCAAAGTCACCTTCAGCTCTGTAATTGAGATTCTGAGAAATCAAATCTTTTCACTTTATATCACGACATTTTTAAATGAAGGAATTAATGTGAAAGGAAAACAAAAATGACTGTTTTCTAAAAGAATGGAAGTGCCGTGTCTGATGTCTATCTCCTAGTCTCTTTTTGATTCAAACATCCCATGAACCACGATGTTCTATGTAAACCTTCATGTTGAACTGAAAAGTTCCTAGTAGTTTTTATTTGGCTTTTAATTATTGATAGGTTTTAGTATATAATATTTTGGAGAAGGAGAATGCGAACAAACAGATTGGTTTGCTTTCCACTTAATTTTCAGCTAAGTCAAGGGAACTGTTCTTACCATTTCTGCCTCTTAGCACCTTAAACTAGTAGACGTTCACACTAGTGCACCTTCTAAATGGATTTACTTCCAATTTCATCAGGTGGATATATGGAAAGAACCTAGAACATAACAGCCAGTGCATCATAGCTTCTAGACTATCCTTATTAAGTGTTATCATTTTCTTATCCTTCGTAAACGTTATTTCCCAACACAAAACCTCAATTTCTTTCCTCACAATTGTCAAAATCATTTGATTCCCAAGAAGGTTACGATTTATGAAGAAAACACGGCTACTATACTATCAGAGTTAAATATAATAACTCAATTTCAAAGAAGAAAAAATGTAGATAAACTTATTATTAAAAGGAACGTAAAGATTCACGAGACCCATCTCTTGCAAATGGTCAGATGAAGTGGATATAAAATAGCCAGAAAAGAACAGAGACCATAATACCTGTTGAGATCCTAGTTGATTTCACAATATTAAAAAGTTAATGGGCATTTAGTTTTCCTTTCAGAGTTCTTATTATGGAAATATTATACTAGAAAGAATGTAAATATTAATGTTCTCCATTCAGAAAAGTTTAATATGTATTAAATAATTAGATATTAAATAATATATACATTTAATTTTGGTTTAAGTTTTTCTTCAATTTATCCAATGCTCTCGAAAAAAAAAATAAAAAAGAACAGAAAACAAGAAAAATTCAGGTAATTTGCACTGCTTGACTTTTAAGAAAAGTTTTATATGTTCAGGACAGACTATTCTTTAATTGGAAGGTAGAGGATGAAAAATTCAGGTAATTTGCACTGCTTGATTTTTAAGAAAAGTTTTATATGTTCAGGACAGACTATTCTTTAATTGGAAGGTAGAGGATGAAAACTTCAGGTAATTTGCACTGCTTGACTTTTAAGAAAAGTTTTATATGTTAGGGATAGACTATTCTTTAATTAGAAGGTAGAGAAATAACAAAACATCATGAATTTCGATCACTTAGAAAATTACAATGAATAAGTATTACCTAAAAGAATATTTAAAAATCCTCAGCTTTTGAAAATATATAGATTTCCTGGCTTACAAGATCTATTCTGCAATAATTAGTGTAACCAGATAAAATTAAAAACTGGAAAAATGCTGAATTTAGTGGCTGTCAGTTAAATTGCCAAATGAGTATCTAAATTTAGTAAACTGTTTATGGAATCGCGAATTTTAACTGAAGTTACATTGAGGCTTAGGTATATACAAATAGAAGAGTTTATCACCTCAGAGTATTTCAGGGCAAGGAAAATATACAAAACTATTTTTTTGCAATATAGTGTAAGTCCTCAGATAAATTCTACCATAATAAGAACATCTAAACCACAAAAACATTACCAAAAATGTACAGACATCATGGCCTGCATTTCTGCATTTTTCTTTCTTTGTGGTGGCAGCCACACTGGTGCGTTAGTCCAAAGTCATAGGTGTGACTTCACATACATACTGGGTGCTCCAGACGTCTGCCACACAGAGAAAACAGCAGCGTGAGCAGGGAATCAGCTGGGCTGCCTGGCCAAAAGCTAAGTATTCTTAGTTATAAGACCTTTCTATAAAAAAGGACTTCGAAGTCTGAATAGACCCCCAAGAATTAAAAAGATGCCTCTTTCTACTTTAGGGGGTTCAACAAGACACTCTGAAACACAAGCGAGACACAGTTGTTTTAGGGGAAAATGCCTACTGTAAGCCAGGGTATAAAATTTCACCCAAAACAAAGTCTGACGAAAT